ATAGAGGGACCACTGTATAAGGAAAGGAAGTTCAGAGATACATCACTCCAATTATGTGTAGAAGTGACACAAAAAAATATAGATGTGAAGAGTCAAGAAAACAGCATGCAAATCCAATAAGTGACAAAAACGTAGTGACAAGAAAAAGAGAGTAAATATCAAGAGATCAAGGGATCTATTTCGCACCTTCACGACGAACAGTGCCAAACAACTGCAAAGACAACACATTCTCCTTCTGAACACAAAGCTCAGGGTCTAACTTACGTATGTACAAAGCTTCCAGCACGGCAAGATGTAATAAAGACCTCCAACGCGACAAAACAGAGAATACATCATCAGAATACTTGGCCGTTGTCACCTCCGATCCTGCCGCTTGCCAGTCTCTCCCATTACGCCCTGCGTCCCTGCAATTCCGATTGCCTCGGTCGACATCACTGTGCTGCTCCACGTCCAGTCTGTCCTGCTTCCGCGGTCTACCTCGTTTCTTCACATTAACCGTTGTTGTCACTTCCAGTATTGGTTCCTTTGACTCCTCCTCAATTCGTCTCCTCAATTGTCTTCTGGTGACTCGTCCGGGGCTCGATTGTTCAGATGTCAGTTTCGGTGGTTTCCGTATCGGTCTCTTCTTCTTGTTTACTGTTGTTCGGGTTGGCTCCAGCCCTGCGCCCGACGAAAAGGAGGAGGGGTCGGCAAGCGTATCCACAGCGGACTTGGACGAGTCCACCTCAGACACAGACTGCACTGGACACTTCGGCGGACGACAGCGCCGAGGCCGAGAACCACGTGCAGCTACAGGGACAAGATTCAGCGGTACATGTTGACGAATCCGTGCGCCCACGTACCGATTTTCACAATTTCGGCACTGAAAGAAATATATTATAATAATTACTTTTGCTTAGGGTAGGTAGAACGTCCTTCTTCACACTGAACGCACGGGTCGTCCCAAAGATGACATGCAATTTGACACACAGATAAGAGGAAAGAAAAATATTCCGCACCTCCTTCTCGACGCGCGAAGAACCGGCACCAACCCATTGCAAACGTATTACCACAGGGCATCTCTCCGGCCCAAAAGTGATCGTCTTTTCCATGGTCGGTTTCTGGTTGATGAGTTTCATTAAAAATGTCTTTGGATAGCCATTCTTTGTCATTATTGTTAAGAGTCGTTCTAGTTCCTCGTCCAGCAGATGAGGGGAACATATCCTATGTGCACGGTAGACAAGGGCCTTGACGAGGTGTGTTTTGGACTTAGTTGGAGTAAACCTTGACCCGCATGGGATACAAGCCTGTGAAAGTGGGCTTTCTATAAATGGTCGTGTCCATGTTGTGCGTATCCATGTTACGAGAAATACTAACATCCAGAAAAGAAAGGGTACCATTATTTTCACCTTCTGATGTGAATTTTAATGCTGGATGTAAGGAGTTGAGAGTTTCCATAAACCTATCACAGGTTTCCTTGTCGTCGTCGTGACAATACACATCGTCAACAAAACGACAGTACATTGATGGCCAAAGTGAAGGGTCGATAGACGACTCACAGAAGCCAACAAATATATTCGCCAAGACTGGTCCCAAAGGCGATCCCATGGCGACTCCATCATTCTGTTTGTACATTATATTGTCGAATGAAAACTCCACACCAGACGTGACCATCAACATAGGTTTCACGAACTCCGTTTCATTCAAATTTGGTGGAGTGATAGACCTGTTATGGTATAACGCCATGGCTCAAATGTCTATTGTTTCTCGTAAAGGAACGTTGGTAAACAAGCTCACTACGTCATACGAGCACATGATTGTAACCATTTGATTCAAATTTCGAATCTCTAAGTCTCTCCAATACTTTTGACACATGCTCTAAGTGGCTGGTGGTGTCTGGTGATTCTTGCGTAGATGCATGCGTAGACAATACATTTTTTTGTAATAAAAGACTTGTTCGGAGAAGCGGCAGGGGAGGAATCTTGTCCGGGTGTTGCTATCCGCATGACTGTATATTCTCACGAGGGGTGCACCTACATGTACATGTACGTGCAGTAATGTACATTGTACATGTACATGCATGTAGTGTGCAAGGAGTGCTCCAAAATCCAAATGCCGTGGAGACAAGGGCATAGAACAGTCAAACAGTGGATGTGCATGGACAGAGCCTGAGGCTCTGTGGATGTAAGGTTTCACAACTTTAAATATTGTGCAACCATCGACAACATGATAATGGTGGGTACTACTAGTGTGCAGGTGTTTGAGTGGGGACTGAGTGCAAATTGGGAGCCGTGTCGGAGTGCTATGGGTGCCACAGCGTCTTTCAGTCCACAGTTAGACTAATCTTATGATGTCATTATATCATTATCGTTGTCTGATGATTGGTTCAGCCATGAAACTCTGAGTCACAACGGAATCAATTTGCCAAGGTTTTCATTGTGTGCCTTTGTGTACGCCGCTCTGCCTGAATCAGGCATTGAGCACACTTGCAGAACCAAAGCATATTGCCTCTGTAATCTTATTATGTCTTAGTTTCTGCTCCAATCAGCGGTTTGTGGTGGCGTCGATAGGTCTCGACTATGAGTAGTTATCGTATGACACTTAGACTTACTCTTCAAGCTCATGGCTGGTAGCCGGCTCATTTTGTTTGGTCGTGCGCTGCTGGATGTCTTGCATCGATTGCTAAATGAGGCAGTTTCTAGTATTGTTGGTTGCTTGGCCAACAACTACTTTGTGTGGGTCACGAAGCTTTGTCGCGTGGTGTGGTGAGCATGAGGGTGAAGATTGGGTATCTGGACTCCTGGTATATTTCCAGAAAGACCCTAGGACACCCTGAGAGCATGTCTGGCCGCGTCCCCTGCCATGTCATTCATAAGACTGTAATTGTTTACAATGTCAGGTACTTCAAAATTCAAGTGTCTACTTAATATTACAGGATTCCGGCTGTAATGACCATGTACAATGTACATGTATGTGCATGCACGTGTTCATTATTAACTTTGGTCACGTGGTGCACCATGGTGCACGGTACGGAGCGCTAGCGGGGGTGTGTAGGAGGTGCACCTCTGCCTGGCCCTAGCCCTAGGCTAGAGCTCTGTGCTGTGGTAACTAACTAACTCTTACTTGACACGTAGCTGTCATCATTCTGTTTACGTGATCTGTCATGTGGTTCTCGCGAGCCCGCGCGCGCGTCTGAACACACACACAACAGGTGCAGAACATAAGCCTGCTCATATTCATACTAATACTAGTAATAATACATTTTAGTACTACTACATGACACGTATTACTGTAGAGTGTAGTACTAGTCAGGCGAGATCGATCCAAGTAAAACAACACAATCATTGAATCATGCTGACATGGGTCTACGAAATGACTCGCTGTGGACCACTCGACTCGCTACAGCCTACTCGCCTAGTACTAGGCACTTCAGGCGATTTTTTCAAAACGAGAAATACGCGTATTTCTTTTTTGTATCTGATTCAGATAGGTTTAGGAAGACTCCACAGAAAATTTGAAGCAAAAAGAATAACTTAGCACAGAGATATAGCCACCCAAAGTCGGAGAATTGAATAACGGCATTTTCAGTATTTCGACGGCACCAGCAGCATATCAGAAATTGGCAGAACTTGCTTCAGTGTCTATAGTGGCAAAATACCAGGCTCGCTGGAAGCAGGTCAAAATAACCAGATGAATGCAGAAACAGCATGGTTTGGAAAAACTTCGGATTTTTCATCCGTCCGGCAGCTCCGACGAAGATATCGGGTATGGTCACCATGGCAACTCCATAGCAACAGCATAGCAACTCCATCGCAACAGCATGAAAACAGTGCCGAGAAGCCTTCGGAAAAGCATAAGATGAGACTTTGAGGTAAGATAAAGTAACTACAATAATTCAGTGCCAGAAAACATTGTTGCTACATGTACAGTACTGACTTGGTGATGAGTACGGAAGAACAATGAGCCGAAGACTGAGCAAACTAGAATTTACCGGGTATTTGACGGAAAGAAATGACAAACTATTACAATAGAACATCGTCTGCAAATTTTTGGGACTACTGAAACTTCAGCAACTCCAGCATGAGAGATTTTGTGCATAGAGTGTGTGCTGGATTCTTGGTATAATATCACCGTCAATGCTTTTCTTGGTCGCTGGAAGCCACCTGCTGATCAGCTGACGATTTGTTCCGAGCAGGCCGTTTTGATGTCAGCTCTCTTGGTCCAGTCGCCGAAGTATATACTGTCCTACTCGTCGCCTGCAGGAGAGGACGACTGCTCCGATGCGACTCCAATAACACCTGGCAATATTTCTTCTTGCGCAGCCATGCGCATGGGCTCCGACGAACAAGGATTATTGCCGGGAGGACGCCTGTCGCGGTTCGCTTCCAATAACACCTCGCATTATTTCTCCTTGCGCAGCAATGCGCAAAGTGTCGGACGAACGAGGACAACTGATCCCGAAAGGAAATACGACGCTGAAGACGATGAGCTACATGGCAAATGCGTGCAACCAAGTGAAATGCCCGAAAAATCCTTGCCGATTTTACTCGAACTGTACGTGAGTTAAAAAAATTGCCGCATCATGACGTATGTGGGCTCAAACGAAAGCTGAGGGCCTCAGCTACATGCTGCGCCACACGAGAAGGCCCTGCGCAGCTTCCGTGCAGCTACAGATCGATCTATGCATGCGCCTTTCCTTGGTGCCACGCATGTACGCGATTCAGCGTTAGCACTTTTTGACAGGTCATGTCACGTGACTGAAGTGCCTACTAGTACTACTAGTACTAGATCTACTGGACGGTTGGCAGCATTTTGCAAGGCGGACTACTAGTAGTACTAGTACTGCTACACTACACTACAGAATCCAGGCAAAGAACGGAGTGCTGAAGTCAAGAGCGCGCGATGAGCCTAGGATTTCACCTACCTAACCAAGCACAGACTACTTGTAGACTCAGCGACAGTATCCCAAACAAACGATGCACGCACGCGGGGACTCAACAAGTCTGTGCATAGACTGCATGCATGCATGCAGAACACAGAAGTCAGAACGGCCCACTCCCTACTGGCCTAAGTATTAGTTGGCCTAAGGCTAAGGCTAAGGCTACGACACGCCGGTTGAACTGTCTTCATCCTAGAGTAATGATACTGCGCTGTTGTTGACAAAATACGAAATAGTTTGCTCAGCGTCGAAATATTCATTGACCGATTTACCACCAAGATAGTTTAGTGTTGACTCTCTCGCCTGGCCGGAAAGATGATGCAACGGAAGACCATCGGCCAACTTGTCCGAGCAATTGGGATACTGCGCTTGTGTCGCTACAAAGCCGTTGTAAACAGCAGTGAAAAGGTACGGAATGAAAGAGCGGGGACTCCTGGAGGGTGTGTGTAGAAGTGCAACTCTGCACAGGTTCATAGGGAAATTTCTGGCTTGGTATTATTTTGTGCTTCTCGGGACTGCAGAGGTCCCCACGTAACTCGTTGCCATGTGGAGGGGAGAATGAAAATCAATGCCTTCATGCATCATCAGAAATTATGCTAGTACATGTACATTGTTTGTGTGGTATGGAGTAGGATTTGTTGTGAAGTGTTCAATTCACTGACTGTATCACCATGATGGTGAAACAAGACAGTGCTCAATAGACAATACTCTGACTGTGTATGGTGAAATAAGCGGCACATTGACCTACTGGCATACTGTACTGGTCGACACTGTGCATCAGGAGTGTAGGAAGCAGATCACAGTACTTGGTATGTGCATGCCTGATGTACATGTACATGCCTGATGTACATGTACATGCCTGATGTACCGTATTTCCTCGATTAATAGACCCGGTCTTTTGTTTTTTGATGAGGGTTGGACCCCCTCCCCTGTCTCTTATTTGGGCATGGTCCATTATTTGAGCACGGTCCACTATATTTTCATCGGCACATTGCTGGAAATGGTGGATTTTTAACACGTCATAATATAGAAGTTCTATATTATGAAGTGTTAAAAATCCACCATTTCCAGCGATGTGCCGATGAAAATATAGTGGACCGTGCTCAAATAATGAAAGAAAGCACTAACCACTTCAAAAATTGTAGTTGCTCAACCTAAAATCGCGTCCTTTCTTAGTGCGCATGCGCAAAGCAATTAACTCAAATAAGAGACCGGGTCTCTTATTCGGGCATGGTCTACTATTTTTCCGTGAGGCCTCTAGGAGGGTCTACTATTGGAGCAGGGTCTATTATTCGAGCATGGTCCATTAATCGAGGAAATACGGTACATGTACATGTACCTGTACATGTACATGTACCTGGCCATGTACATGTACATTGTATTTGCACATAATACAGTCAGACCTTTAACCGCACACATCTGTTTTCCATACAAAAATATCCCTCGCCTATCCGGAGGGTGAGGGATCTGGATAAACGAGGAGCGGATAAACGAGGACCGGATAAACGAGGACCGGATAAACGAGGACCGGATAAGCGAGGTCTGACTGTACATTGTAATTGCACATGTACATGTATTAGCACTGGGTCAAAGTGATGATAATACGACTATAATCAGGACCGCCGGAAGCAGGTTTTGATTGGTCCAGTAGTATTGTGGCCTTTCGTACTATGTGTGTCAAAATGGTGGATACATAATTATGCAATTAAAATACATGTAGAAGAAATCACATGGAAACGAGTTATGAAGCAACTATCCACGACTGTAACAAGAAAATAATCAGTCAGAAAAACAGAAATTTCTTCGATTTTAATTGAATTGAATACAATTAAAATAGAAGAAATGGAGGGTATAATAATAATTATTTTATGTTTAACTCGGACACTGAGCCAATAAATTGTATTGCCAATAGTAAAGACTTGTTGGTGGCCAATATGTTGGTCCGGTGATAACCTGTCCAACAGGACCAGTTCCGGCGGGCCTGATAATAACTTACCATTAGCTAGTTTCCTGTTCATTTTTCTGCCATGACCGCAGAAATAAACCTTTTCGTGCAGATACCGCACCAGTTATACATGTACGTGCAAATCACAACCTCCCCCGTATTTGGGGACTCGATTTCCCGGGTCAATGGTAGTTACCATACTCGCGCGATTAGAGCCCTCTCTTGAACAGTGCCCTATCTTGAATAATGCCCTAGTCTCTAAAAGCCAGTGAAAAAATAAAGCCCTCTCTTGAATAGTGCCCCCCTCCCCCCCCCCCCCCCCTCCCGGGCTTGTAATCAATAGCATGACTGTGCAAGCTTGGTGTCGTTTTGCTACTAATCTTGTCCATGCCATTGCACTGGTGGTTTCGGGAATCCAAATCACAGTTCATTTTGCCCTTTCTGTTAAGTCGCGATAGTTTACATTAGCGTTGGCTCCGTTTTTCTTTGTTTTAATGCTGGATGACGCAAATGTACCAGCTTTGAAGAAAGTAGTACCCTCTCTTGAATAGTGCCCTCTCTTGAATAGTGCCCTCTCTTGAATAGTGCCCTCTCTTGAATAGTGCCCTCTCTTGAATAGTGCCCCATCAGTGATGGTAAGTGAAAAATAGTACCCAAGCGGCACTAATCGCGCGAGTATGGAAACCCCTGTTGTAAGTCGATCAACTACCCTTTTTTGAATTTGGCTTTATGTCATAAAAGGTCGACTTGGAACGAGTAAAGTGCAGTATATTTAATGGTACCTTATTTTCTGGGGTCGGAGCAGTGCTCAGAACTATTTCAAAATGCTTACTAGTGGCACATTTAAAAAATATGCCTAAAGTAAGCATTTTGAAATATGCCAAAATCAACGCGCGTATTACATTCCGAATACACAATCCAGAATGTACATTTACCTTTTGAATTTCATCTTTACCCCGGTGTAAGTTTGAACCCGAAAAAAAAACATGGTATGTCTTTTGTATTATTTACTCATGCCATCATACGCTATAGGGCTTCGAAGTGGGACGTCAGGTCGTTGACAACGACTTCGTAGAAACAGGGTACAAACAACCATTGCGTCTCCAGCACGTGGAGCTTTGCACTAAAACGTTAAAACTTTTCATCTTGGCTTGTACAGATTAGAGTAGATACCTTACACGAAGAACACGGACATCCTTTTATTGTCCTTTTGGCACATGAGTTTGCTAGCTTTGTCCTCCTTTCTGCAGGGCAAAGTAGAGCATGATTTGCATGTAATTGGAGTTACAAATCGGCCTACAAATTTCCTCAAGCAAATCATTGATTCCCGCCATCCGAAGTCTGTATCTTATTGCAAAACCAGTGAAGAGCAAGCGGACGCTAAGGTGTATTTGTACCCAGAAAATTCGCTGGCATGTGTTGTCAATTGTATGTGACGTCATCACTTCGAATACTGGGCAACCTTCAGCCATAGGGCTGAAGGTTGCCCAGTATTCTAATTATAACGTTAATCATGTACGATACTTGCACATATGCATGGACAGTGCATGTAGGATTAACAAGGACGGTGTGACCCATCCTTGCTGCCAATTGCAGATAATGGAACTCGGACGAAGATTCCCAAGCAAAGTGCTTTTCAACAGTCTCATGCGCCACACCGTCTACTCGCAGTTTGTGGCCGGCAAGGACGTTGCATCACTGAATTACGTGGCTAGTGAGTTAGCACAGGACAAGGTGCGGTGCATGCTTTACGTTCACGTGGAGAGTGATGAAAAGGAGGGTGGCAGCTCGGCGGATGCGTAAGTACATGTATGTTTATTTGATTCCATTTTTTACAAGAAACCATCATGGTGCTAACGCCGGCAAAAACGCACGGATATACACATAGCGATGGCAGCCGAAGCAGTGGAGGTGGGCCAAGAGTAGCTAAACCGACCAAGGGTCTCGGTCTCATCACTGCTCATGCGTGTCAAACAGAAAAATACAAAAATGGAAAAATGAGCAGGAGCACTACAGAGCAAATGGGAAATCAGGGTGACGCACAGTCACGCAATGTGCAGAATGGGAAGGAATGTTGAGGAGCAGGCACACAATACATTCATTGCATACGCCCAGCAGGAGGCATCCGAATGCATACACACACATACACACACACACACACACACACACACACACACACACACACACACACACACACACACACACACACACACACACACACACACACACTGCGTCTAAAAGTCCTGGCATTGAGCAGGATTATTCATTACTGTGACGTCACTATTATGTAAAGTTGTATGCAAGAGTCCATAACCAAGAGAACACAACTTATTGTGATCTCTGTTCTATAGGCCAGATGCGATTTATGCTGCTTTCAGTACACATAATACAGCTACAATTCCGCACTGTCGAAAATCAAACACACTTTCCCGGTTGTTTGCAACAAACTATTTCGTATGGAACTGTAGTTTGTACATCAAGACGTGGACGTTAGGCATACACTCGAGCAAATCAAGCCAAACCGGATTTGCTGGTATTGTAGATTATGGTTTTGAATACACGAGCACACTGGACGGTGGAGGTTACATAATGAAGACAACGTGCCATGCACGGAACACTAAGCGCAGCTGCACACTAGTATCGGTTATTGACTCTTGATGTAAACAAATAAAAGTTCCCACATCCGGGTTGCCACCGGTTTAAAAGTGTGCTGAGAAACACAACCAGTTTTAAGAAAGTATTGCTCGTGCCAGGCAACCACCCCATCTGATTATCCAGGGCTGCAGATGCAGCGCCTAGCGGCGAGGGTGAGGTAGTGAGTCTCACGGCCAATGCCCGACAAGGGGGCGAACCTCGTTAGCTATATGTATGTTACTCCCTTGACGTACATGTTTGTTATGATGAGTTACGCCTGGTCATAGGATTTACTATCTGTGAATGCTTTAGAGTCCATTTCTCTGCACTGAAAGCAAGTCAACAGCTAGGTAGGTTGGGAAAGACATATTTTGGGGGAAACAACAAGGGGAGAGATATAGATGAAAGAACGGCTACAGTACACATGATGGTTGACAAGAGAGAAGAAGATAGATAGATAGAGAGAGAGAGAGAGATAGAGAGAAAGAGAGATGGAAAGAACTAGATAAAGAGCCTGAGTAGCTATATATATGGCAAATATGGTTGCGCAAGCAGCTACCGAGGCCACTGGAACAAAGGTGTATTACTTGAACGCGGGAAGCTACAGGGTGTGGGTCAGCAGGGGTAAGGTTGTTCGAGGCAATGTACAGGAGATGGGGAGTTAACATTATGCAGAGCGCGTCTAATAACCAGGGGCCGTATCTACAAGGTACATAATTGCTGCAGTCCTAAAACTCACACGTGTGTATCATTTTTCCAAAACATGTAGATACACAGGCTTTTCAGGAGCGTTCGTCGTGCAAATTACGCCTTTTCAAATGTCTTTCTTTTCTTCACAGCGCAAGGCTACATGAATACAATAAGAGTTTGATGCTGGAAGCTGCAGGCAAGGATTGAAACCCCCTCTTCTTACAAAGATAAACGTTGACCTTTTTTTCTTGTCTTCGCCGCAGAATCGTTCAATGTTTAAAGTATTAAGATCATGTCCACGGAGGAATCGTTCACTGTTGACGCAGAATCGTTCAATGTTGAAAGTATTAAGATCATGTCCACGGAGGAAATACCATTTAGCTATTGGCGATACCATAGTGATATCGGGTCAAGCCAGCTTCTGCATTATCCGGAGTATAACCCGCACTTTAAACACTCTTCATTCACCCTCAAAAAAGTCGGTGTGCCTTATCCTATGCTGATGAAATCAACCATGAAATACGGGGAAGATGTCTGTATTTCGTAACAAAAAATCTGGGTGCGCTTTTACTCCAAAAAACATGTACTTCAAAGTACCTCGAGCATGAACGCAAGATAGTCAATAGGTGATAGTCAATCATTTCTTCGGACTTTTCCCGTTTGCATCTTTTCCTCAAACCAGTGAACATAACAATTATGCGGGTTTTTTCTGTCATGTCAACTTCACCCAGAACAAGCGCCAGCTAACAGCATGATACAAGTGAAGATGACTGGAATAGCTAGTGTTCCCATGATGGTACGTACATGAATATCGCTAGGCTGCCTGCATGAATACTGCACTTGTTTGTGCCTACACTATTTTTGATAATTCTGGTCGTAATATACACGTCGATTCAAAAAGAAAGGGAGGGGCAACTGGCAACCTTTCTAGTCAGCCACTGCTCACTCAATGCGCTGAGTGCACCTGAAGAATGTGTCCTGTTGATGTGAAGAGATGACGTTTTGGACCTGTCACTCATCGTCTGGTTCTGACGATGGGTGACTGAATATTTTATGGATAAAACCGATTTTTCGATTACCTCAGTGCATTGAGTGAGCAGGAACTGAATGGATCGGTTGTCAGGTGACACCCCGGCCCATATCACACCATTGGCCTAGCTCCTACAAGGGATGAAGAAATTTTATGATTGCAAGTTAGACACAAACAAAGCAGACAAACCAACCAATAATCCATATCACTGTAAGACAGGTAACGTTAACGAAAATTTAATTCTAACGAGTTAACAAATTAAAAAATTGCTAACATTTGAAGTTGTTATGTGCAAAACGATACAGTCATTTGCCGGTTTTGAGACATGAGAAAGTGGTAATAAAAGTTATGATGTGGATGGAGTGGTAGAAGAAGTAGAGGGAGGAGGGAGGAGCCAAAGAAGAAAGAGGAGGTGATGGTTGAGGAGGAGAAAACATGATGATCGAGAAGAAGATCTTAAGTTGAGGATATAAATTCTTTCAAATGTAACACATGATTATACAAAGGCCACAGTAGAGTGCCACAGGGTGATATTCTTCCTAGGCTGACGTGTAGTGATAGTAGTTGTACAGGACGTCATCTAAAACAGTTATTCATTGTTTGAAATCGACTGTGTAATTTATTGCAACATGTTTTTGAGATTGAATGTAATATTCAGTACACCTGGTGCATTTCGACACGTATAATTATTTATAATTATTGATGTCATATACCGTATTTTACCGGTTGTAAGTCGACCCCGGTTATAGGTCGACCCCCGTATCTGGAGGTCTCAATTCTGAGTTTTAAAAATGTTCACCCAAAGAAGCACTACTAACCACATCCTGCTGGTAACACATCAACAAATCATGTAAACATTCCTTATTGGAGGGTGTAACGTCCCAATCCTTTAAAAAGGCCAATAAACTGGCAAAAATGTGTAAACATGCTGCACTCGTGCATGCAGTGCAGGTCATTTTTTGTAAGATACTGATAGTTCCCGGTTATAAGTCGAATCCCGGTTGTAAGTCGACCCCCGCCCTTTCTCCTTCTATTTTAAGTCGTAAAAGGTCGACTTACAACCGGAAAAATACGGTAGCAGAGTTCGGATGGAATTGAGAAGAATTGAATTTTAAGTGATAGCCTGTAATGTCGGCATTTGAACCTGGGAAGGTATAAGTGTGATTACTGTATACATGAATTGTGTGTATTCCTGAACATTCTCATGGAGTTGATCATTTGTGCTAATGTCCAAGGATATGTTTGCGAACCATGTCGTGCAGATTGACATGAGCAATGCCATGCGTACGGCATCAATGTTACCAAGCAGCGACAAGACAGCATTGTTGGAAGCCTCGCGTAACCCCAAGAGTTTGGCAGCTGTAAGTTGATGCCTTCAGTACAAACTTGTTAGTTGTTACCATGTTGAGCTCTTGTTGGTGCTGTTGTCCTCTATTGGTGGTATACGGTGAAGTTGAGTGAAATCTTCTCCGCAGAGTTGTTGTTTTTGCTACCGTTGTATGCATGAACTTCTTTTTTTAGTACACAGGGCAGAACAACAGAGACCAAAAATCTTTCTCGTAACTCCGAGTTTCGTGTTTCAAAAAACACTCATCAGACAGTTTGAGGTATTGAGCACTGTTTGCAGCGAAGACTACAGACACTTTGTCTTTTTGAAGTATGTACGTTTTGTGTGTGTGTGTGTGTGTGTGTGTGTGTGTGTGTGTGTGTGTATGCGTGTATGCATGTGTACATATTTGATTGAAATGCCGGGAAAGGTACCAGGAGGCGTGAACACTAAATACCACAATGACATCATTGATATTCAGCGGACACTTCACGAAATGGCGGAGGTACGTAGATCTACACACACAGCTTTCACTATTCGGGAAAAGAATGCGATTATTATGAATCAAGGGTTATATCTTTGTCGAATGGAAAAGAGTGGAAATATAGTTTGGTATTGGTATGGTATTGATTTATTTGAATTCGGTATCTCAACAGTACAATGTACAACTTGTTTGTCCACAAGGCTTGAAAGTGAAGAAAGTGGATGCTCCAAACATTGAAGCTCGTGCTTCCTGCCGACTGACTGACACTTGACTGACTCACGACTCCCGGTTGGAGCACAGGAGAAGAATACCGGGCTGTCCACTCGGCAAATTGTGTACTCCAGATGGTGGTACAAAGTTTTCGCACTTCAATACATCAGGCTTATATGCATTTTCCCATTTTGTTTATGTGTACAAGAGAGTCACCACAAGAAAAAGCACAATTAAGTGTTAATAAACAAACCAAAAAACATAGCATGCCCACCATACTTTATGAAACTATGAACAACGCATTGTTTTCAGCTACCACCATCAATTAACAGAAAACGAATATAGGAGAATTGTGAGTTTACACCAGTCATGCAAGGATGCGTTTTACTGACTCTAGCAATATGTAGTAACGGTGAGGCAAGATTTGTTCCCATTCTGCCATACTGAGGAGGGGGGGGGGGGGGGGAGGGGGGAGGGGAGATGAGTTTCTGCATCCAAAGGTACACCACAAGCTTTGACGATCAATACTTTATACATCCTGTCCTGAAGTTTACTACTTAGAATTAGCAAACGGTAAGTGAAAGGATGCAATCTGCTGGCAAATGTTGAGAGAGTTCTGCGTTCTCATGGCCAGCAATCGAGGACATCTGAGAGTTGTAATTTTTGTACTCCTCCGAGGTGTGATTTTTGGCGTGCTGGGCCAAGCACAAGGAAGCCATCTGCAAAAAAACTGCAGAAAATGGTTGTTGTTTGATCCTTTGGTGTAATCTTTGTTTCTAGTCGAAGCTAGTTGCTGTTTGGAGCAGAAACGCTGAAATTGACTATTTTCTGCATGTACTCATACATGTACTCATGTACTCAGGCATGCAGTCTCACTCGTATTTTAGCTCTTTTTCTGGAATGGATGCTGCTCTGCGCCCCTTGGTGAACATTTCCTGCGCTCGTGGAGCAGCTGAAAAGGACCACTGGTATGTCTGGTTCCTGGTTTGAAAGTGGAGAGTCGACTTTTGTGCCTTGAAAAAGGAGTAGAGAGCGATAAAGGTACGTCTGTGGCTGATTTTTGAGTGCTCCTCGTACATTTTTGATCGTGATAGAAATTCTCAGACCAAAGTCAGACCAAAGTCAGCGCGATGATGGTCGTACCGTTTTCTTGTGGATTTTTTAGTTGTTTCATCTCGTATCTATGTCAGTATCGTGATGGTGAAGTGGAGAGGTGATTTTCTTCCTCTATGCTTCGTTCGGCCGACTTTGCTTCGTCCTCGTTGAAAAGTGATCCTGAAAAAAAGGTCGATTCGAAAAATTATGTTGATTTTCAATGTACGTGATGACATGCGATTGCTGGCTATGTTTGCTTACAGGCAGCTGCAAGACGCGATGCGTTCATAATTATAGATGCCGAGCAATCCTATTTCCAGCCGGCAATTCAACGTCTTGCTCTACCAGTCATGTTGCACTGGAACTCAAGGTCACGCCCGGTCATTTACACTACAATACAGGCGTATCTCAAGGTGAGGCCAGTGTACTTGAAGGAAATTTATAGTAACTGTTAACCTTGTTGTTTCCACTCATGCCGTTTTCATCCTGGCAATGCATTTTCGACACAGGACTGGAATTGGCACACTCTCCTAAAACCTGTCATGCCACATGACACACAAGTGATACAACCCGTTCTGTGCTTAACGATCTTTTTCCAATACAATGATTGTTACGTAATATGTCACAACATTGTTGTGTTCAGGAAAGCCGGTCAGTGGCACAGGGTTGCTTGAGGCTATTCGAAGAAGAAAAATCCAGGTTTGCTGCCAAGATCGTCCGTGGCGCATATCTGAAGCTGGAGGCAGACAGGGCGCATGCTCTGGGCTACAGTAACCCGATATGCAGCAGCTACGAAGAAACTAATGACAGCTACAACCAGATCGTGCGCTTCATGTTCGACAAAGTCCGAGAAGACGCGGCGAGTCTCATGGTTGCAACCCACAATGTTGAGAGCATCACTCTTGTGCGGGACCTGTGAGTACCTACATACATGCAACTTGATGTTGTTTGAATTTTCCTTTGTGCTGTTAAACTGGGAATTGTCGGTGGTGTAATATTTTCGGTATTTCCCAAAATCAATGGTTCGGTAGCGCGACATTTTTTGGTAAACTAGTTTTCCAGATCTGTGTGGCATGGCGTGGTTGAATTTCTGGCGCATTTTCTGATAGGTAAAAAATACCTGTTACGAAGTTACCGAAAATATATCTCCCCCGAAATTTTCCGGTTTTGCAGTTCTCTTTAGGAATCTGTTACTACTGAGTGAAAAGGGTGTCATAGAGAAAAGGGCATGCTTGGAGGCATGTTGTAGCTGTTATTCTCATGGTACATGTACTTGGTAATGGAGTCAACGTTTTTTCCGCAAAAGATTCGAAAATACAAAAGATCAAATCGATAAAATTATGATGTCATTGTGTTTTGTACACACGATGGATATTTTTTTGCTATTGTCATGAATCAATGTACTGTGGCAGTGTGCGTAGCATGGATCACTACCCTCCTCACCTTTCACCATTCTTACCATACCCTAGAATAAAGCCAGGGTGCTAGGCAGGCAATATAGCCGTTAGCCCGGTTTGCATTTTCCTGTCCTGCTTTCAAGAAAATGATGAGCTACATCAGTACACACTCATCCACTATGCTGGCGTCGTAGACTGAGTTAGTCACAAGAACACTGTCTGAGTAGTCACCATGGTTTGTTAGTGCTCCAAATCTTGCAAGACATCGACATATCCACATAGTATTTACACTTGCTGGATGCGGCAGCAGATTGCTCCCGAGCGCCATTTCCTCCGACCTCTTCGCATAAATGGCAATGATCATTGGCCATGATTTGTGTGATTGTACTCACACACGTGTAAAGTAAGCTGTGACTCTATCCACTGGCGTATTTCTGCTAGTTCAAGCCAGTGGTGGGTTGTTGATCTTGTCATGCACCTAAGTCTCCAGGGTGTTGTAAGTATATCATGTTGTTGTGCATAGAACAATGTGCTATTCTGGTCCTGTATCAGGATGAAGCTACATGACATACACCATGGTGACGGCGAAAGAGTGTGCTTCGGTCAGATATACGGCCTGGCTGACCACCTCACATCTGATCTAGGTGAGTACTGTCCTGCTCAGGCTTGCCTAGTGTCACGCCCTGCTACATTGGGTCTGCTCGCCTTTTCCCACTTTTCTCATATATGATATTCCATCTAGTGAGCTTCTATGGTTACACAATAAGCTGAACTGGTATTCAAACTGCACCCTGGTCTTACCAGCAAAGTACCATTCGCACTTGTATTTGCTTGTGCTGAAATGCAAGCTCAGGGCTTAAGTTGCAGAGCGGACTTCAGGCTAATATTTGATGAAACAATAGAGCGCTTGTACCCGGACAGTACTGAGTTTCGATGAAAGATTCTGCAAGTTCCGGGTAGTCCTAGAGTGGCTGCTTTGTTTCCGTGTGCTTCATTGTACTGCGTTGCCCTTGTTGATGTGGGTTGCAACAAATATCTTACATAACGCAGGTTGGTTTTCTCAGGGTGTACTTGTAGGCTGGTGGGCTGAAAGCCTGTACAATTGTGCTACACATGCGTGCTAATATTGTGTCTTAATTTGCGTTCTGCTCTTAACGCCAGCTGCGCATGGGTATATCACGTACAAGAGCGTCCCATCCGGACCCGAGGACCGTGTGCTGGGCTACCTTGCTCGGCGCGCACAGGAGAACAATGCTGTGTTCAGCCGTCTGAATTCAGAGTTGTCGCATCTCCAGGCAGAGCTACTAAGTCGTCTTCCACTCAGATCCACATAGGGTGCCGTTCTGTTCTATTTACTGATGTAAATCTTCTTCGATATATACGTGTAAAATGTACCAATACTGGCTTGCAGTTCACATAAGAATCTGATACCAAACGTTTAGATCAAAAAATTGTGATACCGGTAGTATGGACTATTATTATTACACGATAATGTCAACCGTTCAGTTCTTTCGACTCTTTTGATATCATTTCTGCAGAATTCTCTTTTGATATCATTTCTTCAGAATTCTCTTTTGATATCATTTCTTCAGAATTCTCTTTTGATATCATTTCTCCAGAATTCTCTTTTGATATCAATTGAATATTTTCTCTCTGTACTTTGAAGGTAAATTTGATTTATGCAGCGTTTAAAAGTTGGAATGCTCTCATGTGAACTGGTGGAAATGAATACCCTCAAATTTGATTTTGCATAAAAGCATAATTATAATTATTGGATACATTTGCAATGACATAATCCTATTTTCTGATTTATCTCTCCTTCTAAATTTCTATTGGATCAAGATTCAAGTTTACTTCTGTTTTCCGAGTTTACTTCTATTGGTCTTAACACCCGAGTTTACAACTACTTGTGATTTATGCTTGAAAATTTCTGGACTTGAAATCTTGACATCCAGTCTGTGTGGTCCATTCAAATCGTGGATCATGAGAGGGCTTGTACCAGGGCAGTAAGTACATGAACCGGCACATGTTCTGTATATCCAAGGTCACGTGACTGGTACAGCATAATGGTGAGTACTGGGTAGTTAGAAATAGTAATGTAGTTTGAAAGATATGCCACTGGATTCTGCTGGTTGGGACATTGTTTTTATAAATTGTCGGCCGTTATTACTGTATTGAGTTCGTCAGGGGGGGGGGGGGGGACAAGAAGAAGTTTCCATACAGGGATCACGGGCGATAATTAGGGGTGTGCAGATAATGCTCGAAAAGCAGTGAAATTGGCAGAACCATACAAACCTTATGGCGGGCAATTCCTCGAATTCTGCTCTATTTCTTTATCCACATACCAAACATGCATGAAACGAACCAGAAAAAGTACCGAATTCTGCCAATTTTTCTGCCGGCATTATCCGCATATGCCTAGAGAAAATCCGCCTCTCCGCGAGATGGAAAGTTACCCTTACACTACATTGACCAGACACCCTTAGAGTTATGTAACGTGAAAGAAAGACAGTTATCTGCAGTGCCCTACTGCCACTAACAGTTATCCCTTGATAATGCCGGCAGACAATTAGGCAGAAAGTGGTACCGTTTTCTGGTATGTTTCGTGCATGGGGATAAAGAAATCGAGCAGAATTCAAGGAAGTGCCTGCTGTAGGGTCTCTGTGGTTCTACCAATTTCAATGCGTTTCGAGCAGAATCCGCGAAGGGCTAACTGCCACAATGAGTGGACAGTGAATCAGTCGAAGCCCAAGAATCCGCGTCGTTTCTTCAAAATCAACATCAATGATGAGTGTTTTAATGAACATACCGATAACATAGGCACTTTGGCTGTGTGTTGTGTCAATTTTGTTGTGTAATTTAGTAATTTCATGTTCATTCTTGATTAAGTTTGCTTTCATGATGTAGTGATGGAGTGCAAGGCCTCGGTGAATTTTTTGCTTCAGCCTGGTGTGGCCTGGTGTGGCCTAGCTAAGGTCTTATCCGATTCCATTGAAGTTCATCATAAGAAAGTTCTAAAAATTTTGTTCTCGAAGAAACCTTCCTTTCCCTCCAATAAGTTGTACTTATTAGCTCAGACTACTCCGTTAGAGCAACGCCGACTAACTTGCCTCTGTATATTGGTTCATCGAATGCTCTTGGGTTGTGTTCCTGAACATATAAAGCCTTATAACTGGTTTGTTTCGGGCCGCTCAACCAGAAACAAAGTGTCTCTTCCCAAGGCCAAGTCAACACAATTCACAAGATCGCCATTCTTCCAGGGCTACTGTGCATGGCTACAACTTCCCGACTCAGTGAAGACTTCTGCATCATTGAAAGAATTTAAAGTGAATCTGAGGGCCTGCTGATGACTGAGTGCACCATAATAATAATACTTGCAAGTAAAAACGAATCAATATAGCTTTTCGGCTGTTTCCTTTTCATGTATAATAATCTTCTCCTTCTTTTACCATGGTTGGCTATCACCCACATCTTCCCGTTTTGGCTGCCATCGGAAGCCATAAGATGTTGAATAAATAAATAAATAAAGCAAGCATGGTACAGGTGCTTGCTCAGTTCCGCTCTTCCTCGTCACCATGGTCACGGTGTTTTGAAAGAGGGTGCATACCGTGTATGTGTGTGGTATGAGGGGAAAGGAGGGGAATCGCACCAGTGCTGGTCAGCATTTCAAAATTGAATTTCACACAGATCGTACCAATGATGATGTGGAAAATAGAATAATCATCATGAGTGAAACTGAGAATACTAAACACCAAGCCAGCTTAGTGATAATATCGCCATCAACGGACAAAGTACCGCTTCGTAGGTGTATGTGACTTGGTGTTAGTAACGAGGTCGCGAGGCGAGGAATGCAGCATTATGCAGTAAAAAGACCACAGTAGCAATAAGTTGATGTAGGTACAGCAGGCTTATATTGAAATAATTTTTTTTACAAGTTATCCGTTTTGTCCAACACTAACGGTTATAAGCAGAATACTGTTGAGTCAAAAATGTGCAACAATTAGCGCAAAACTGACTGAGGAGATCATGACATTCAACGACCTGATGCTTACATGTAGCTGCATCGCGTCTAGAATGCGCAAACCAGCAGCCTTCCAACTTGGAAGGTTCTAAGTTATGAAGTAACGTAAGAAAGGGAGTCAGTTTTGTGCTAATTGTTGCACATTTTTGACTCAACAGTATTCTGCTTATAACCGTTAGTGTTGGACAAAACGGATAACTTGTAAACTTTTGGTCCTCTTTTTAAATTATTTTTTCTGTGTGTTTGATGTGTTAATCGTAATAACGTTTCAATGTGCACCACTCGGATCAAGAGGCAAGAGCTACACTTTGTCTGCTACAAGGAACAGTCAATGGTTGCTGCATCGTCCAGAAAGGGCTATTCTTCGGGTATGGCCAGTGTGAGTGATCTGTGTAGACGTCTGGTGAAGTTAAGCCTTGCCTTGCCTCCACGGGCAGGTGATGCTGTTGTCACCTGTTCAGAAGCACCATCAGGCTGCTCATCGTCGATCTTCAGCTTCTCGGCCAGCTCATCAGGCACATCAATTGTGTTGAATCTCTGCATCTTACGCCGTTGACCCTTCAACATTTCACTGGTTAGCTGTGGATGGAAGATCTTGAGGTGATTGTAGGATTTCTTCACACGTCTAGAGCGACGCGCTTCATTTCGTTCTTTCATAGCGACGATCGTCAGAATTGAACTTCTCAGTACCAGCTCATCATCCATACTGTCGATGTTGTGCTGTTTCAAGTAGGATTGCAGCTGTGTAGGCGCGAGATCCTCCACATCCACTGCTCCTTCAGTGTAGGCCCTGAGGAAATCGAAGTACTCCCTGGCACTGGGGAAACGGATTGTCATGTTGTCGTCTTGAAACCCGTGCACCACTTTCAAGCCGGTTTCCAAGCAGTGGTTTTTCCAATAGGCTAGTGAGCGGAACTTCATACCGGTCACCTCTTCCTCACTCTTTCCAGTCGTCAGCAAAGACAAGTCCGATGCATACGGGCCGGTGGTTAAGGTGATGTTTGCACACAGCGAACCGCCAGGCTTCAAGCTCTCATGAATGCTGGCCATTGTTGAGCAGAGGTCCTCCTCCTGTACCCAGTGCAGTACAAAATTGGAGAAAATCCAGTCGAATGGACCGTACTTCACTGCATCGCCCATCAAGCCAGGTATGTAACGCAAATTCCTGTGTTTTACCGGATCGTAGTTCAATTCCATTTCCGCTACTCGAACTCGTTCAAAGTTCGGATCTATGGCAATGACACTGCCATCTGCACCCACTCGGGATGCTAGCTCTCTTGCTAGTCGTCCTGTGCCACAGCCAAGATCAAGAATACTCTGTCCCGACACGACAGAAATATGGTTGTGATACAACTGTCGGCCATAGTGATACTGCAAACTGGAATGGTCGTCATACAACTCAGCCAGTTCTGAATCCATCCTCTTTGCGTCCTCCCTTTTCTGCACTGGAGCAGTTAGTTGATGTTTGTTGTAAGGCGTTGTGCAAATGTGTGTTTTTTATCCTTTGTTTCATTACGGACTGATGGAGTCCATGTGCACATTGTCAGTCCCTGCCGAGACCTGCCGATCTGGAACGTATCATGCCACCTGTCCGTATGCCTGTGTAGAAACTAGCCATCATGGAAACAGGCCAATAAGAAACCAATCCAAAATACACTTTGAAGGACGTTCTAATCTCTTAAAGTACACCCTGGGTGACATTTCACGAGTGTACGGCTCTCTGAGCCAGAAACGAAGTCACACTCGCGTGGTGCAGTTGTTAGGGGCAGTCTGAGTGATCGCCGCCAACGAAACTAAGATTACCAGGGACACATGCCTGTTACGTTGGTGTGAGTGGTATGTGACAGTGTTTTGTTTTCCATGATTGTCTAGGCTAGCATACTTTGTTTACGGATGCATATACATGTACAATCATGACCCCCAATCCTCAGTGGTATTGCCTCCTTCCCATTTCAGTCGCCTCTTTGACATGAGGGACAGCCCTGAGCCTCTCAGGATGTGATGGAGTGTTACTAGCAGGCTGGCCACCGTCACCAATGCAGTATTCCTTCGCACTACTACATGATTGTACATGATAATATTGTAGTATCCCTGCCCGACCAATACGGAAGCAGTACGGAACTAATACGGAACGACCTTATGTTGTATCTCCGCATATAAGCGTACGGCGTCTGCTGCATAAAAGCGGCTGCGCATTTCTGTTTTGATGAAGAGAAGAGAAGATTAGATTAGATTGGATAGCAATGAAAGCTAACTCGAAGAATAAGGATTCAGCCTCTAGGTGAGCACCGGAGAGAAAGTTATTTATTTTGCCGCTTCTTCTTTCACGAACGATTATATCTCAGGTGTGTACCTGAAAGTAGAATAAAAGTAATTATTGTTGATTTCACCGCGCCTACCACTCGGCTACCTATTACATTGGTGGCAGCGGTGGGATCGGCTAACCATTACATTGGTGGCAGCGGTGTAGTTTAAAATATAACGACGTGATTCGACCCCAGACCCCCATGGCTCAACCCGCTGCAGCTCCGTGCGACGAATCAAGATGAGAATCATGTTTCTTGCCTTCCTGGGCTTGGCCCTGTTTATTAGCTTGCAGCACAGCCAGGGTGCTAGCGTGGATCACCCTTCTCTACGCATGGCATCCACCGGAGACTTCGATGGCGATTCCAAGCGACCCGCTACCTACATGATTGTATACTACCGGCAGTGGTGGCGAAGCTGATGAGAACGACGACATGCAGGCTGCTGACCAAGACAAGAAGGGTATTCCCCAAGATCTGCAGCGTTTGATTTTCGCCGGCACGCAGCTGGCAGACGGCCGAACCCTGAGTGACTACAACGTTCAGCAGGAGTCCACTATTCACTTGGTACTTCGTGTCCGTAGTGGGATGCAGATTTTCGTCATCACTCTTCCTGGCTAGACCATCACTCTTTACGTCGCG